TGAAGCCCCTAGCAGAATCGAGGCATTTGGATATGACTATAATATTCAACAAAAAGAGGTCCTGGTGTCAGCAAATAATTTATTACATGACAAATAACTCAGACAGTGAAGTCAACTGCACTTTTCTCATGGTAATTATCTGGGAAAGTATGACACCATAAAAGACAGTGCATGTGTAAACCCAAAATACAATCCATTCCCATCATTCCCACTGTTCAATTTCAGCAGGTTCACTTGCGGTTTACAATATATAGACGTTTTATAAAGAGAATGAATGGCAGAATAGGAAACTTTCAGAAAGGAACCTGAGACAAAACTTTCCACAGTATTACTGCATCCCAATCAAAATGAGTTCTAACATTATTATTTGAGTGTAAGGTCCAGTTCATGTATCAAGTACATATCTCTCACTCAATATAGAAGAGAAGAACAGGGAATCGGAAAATACTGTGGAAAAAGGGGCGGAGGTACAGACAACTTGGTAAGACTAGTTAATCTTACAGATAGAGCCCTGCAAATCTGCAGATATCCTCTTTATATCCACAGCAGACCTGGATATCCACAGACCATATTTGCAGATCATGGATGGATGCGGATCCAAATTTTATATCTAGATCCCTGCAAATCTTCGGATATCCACTTTATATCTGAGGATGTGGATATCTGCGGACCATGTTTGCGGACTGGATGCAAATACAAATTTTGTATCCACGCAGGGCTCTACTTATGGAATTCTCTGAAAAGCATCTACTTAAGTGGGAGGAGCTTGGTAGAGGTGTGCGGTGTGCAGGGAACAAGTACTCCCAACTCAGCAGATCCAGCTACCTCTTGACTCTTCCTCACCTCCTCCTCCCATCCAGCTGCAGACATTAAGGTTGCCCTGGCAACCATAAAGCTAGCATTTCCAAACCCTTGAGTGCTTGACTTTGCAGACCTAAATAACATTCTTTTAACATAGTTTTTGTATGTAATTTCCTAGGTGTTTTAAGGACACAAGTAATAACCAATTCTATTATGTGTCTGTAACAGCCCACTCCTAATTGTGCACCACCTACCTGGTATGTACCCGTAGCCTTTACTACTGCTGCTCAGACTGCTTTCACTTGAGCTACAGGAATAACTGCATTAGGTGGAAGCAGCAGAAGGCTGTTATCCCAGTGGGGTGAGTCCGGAGGGTGGGCATGGGGAGTACTGCCCAGCTCAGGTGTGGGGGGGGAGGGGCTCGTGCTTCATGTGATGCCCTGGGTGGCTGTTGGTACCATGTGCTGGGACTGGAGAGAGCTACAAGAAGAACCAAGCTCAGCTCCTTCTCCCCCACTCCTGGAGTTGGGGAAGCTGGTGCCACCAGGGAGGAAGATGGGAAGCTTGTGCCTTATGCTAGGTCCAGGGGCATTCCAGGAGCAGCTCAGCTTGGCTCTCTTTTGCTGCTGCCTCCACCCTCCAACGATGAGGGAACTATTGCCCTATGCGGGCCCCCATGGGGCCCAAATGCCGGGTTGGGAGAGCAGGGAAAGGGCTGAGAGGGGAAGCCCAACTCTCTCCTCCCCCTTCCTGCTACAGCTGCTCTGGCAGCTCACAGGTGTTCTCAGTGCAGTATCTGCTGCTGTTTGGTGGTAGCATGAGCCTGTCATTGGAAACTTCAGTGATTCTGGCAGGCTGTCAAAATCTTTCTGAGGAATGGAAGGGAGAGGGGAAATGGTGACTTTTAATACATCTCACTTCAATAAATCTGAATGGAATTTCACAGGACAAAGGAAGGGCACTTCTCGATATTGAGGGGACTTCCCCTATCAAGTATCAAAGGTCTGCTGGAAACAATGGAGGTGTGAGACCTCCTTAAGGAAACGATCACAATAAAGGGAAAGTGTTAGGCAATCTAAATAAAGGTATTGCAACCAGCTCCCCCTATGCTAATCTGTAATCAAGATTACAGCTGTGCATGAAATATTTATTAATATCAAATTATTACCACAAGCCTGATCCTTATCTAGGTTATTCCATGGTGGCTATGTCTGTAGGAGGGTTGCCAGGTGTCCGGTGTTTAACCGGAACGCCTGGTCAAAAAGGGATCCTGGCTAACACGGCTACCCCTCTGATATAGACACAAATGTTCACGGTGAGCCTTCTGGCCCCAGTGAGGATGTGAGTGGCGAGGAGATGCCTGATCTTCCAGTTAGTCAGAGTGCAGGTGACCTGGCAGCTACTGCAGCATCCATATCTCCATCTCAAATGGTTGTAACCATGCACATTCCTGAAGAAAAGTGTAGATCGGAGAAGAGTGTGGTGGAGGCATAAGAAACAGCTGCTGCTGAGTTTAGTTCCTTAAGTCTAGATGATCCAGGACTGTGGACCCACTTGAGCAGGAGCCTGAGGGACTTCCTTGTACTGCATGGGCCACAGCAAGTGAAAAACTTCATGTTCCCAAAGACAATGAAAATAGAAGTTTCCATCCAACACATTACTGGCGTGAAATCCCCAATGGTGACAACGTGGAGATGCCATGGCTTATGTACTCAAAAACCCAGAATGCTGCATACTGTTTTTGTTGCAAACTCTTCTAGTCTAATGTTCCAGCCACATTGGGTTCTACAGGAACAAAGGACTGGAAAAATCTGGCTAGAAATCCTGCATGCCATGAGAAGGCAGCAAATAACCAGAGAGCATGGTGGAATAGGTGGAAAGAGCTTGAGATGAGACTAAGGTTAAAGACCACCATAGATGATCAGCATCAAGAGAAGATTGTATCAGAGTCTCTTTACTGGCAAAATGTTCTGAAAAGGCTCATTGCCATTGTGAGAATGCTTGCTACCCAAAACCTAGCACTGTGTAGCACTTCAGATCAGCTGTATGTGCCAAACAATGAAAACTTCCTTAAAATTTGTGGAGCTGATAGCTGAGTTTGATGCTGTACTCCAGGGCCATCTAAGAAGAGTCACCACCCAAGAAATGTACACACATCACTACCTTGGAAAAACAGAGCATTTTCTAGAATTTATTGATATTGATGATACTACAGGAGCTGGTATGACAAATGTGCTTCTTAAAAAATTGGAAGATACGGGAATTGCAATAGCTGACATGAGAGGTCAGAGCCACGGTAATGGTGCCAATATGAGAGGAAAGAACAGAGGAGTGCAGACACGGATCCGAGAGTTCAACCCTTGAGCTTTTTTTTGTCCCATGCAGTTCTCATTCATTGAACTTGGTGGTCAGTGATGCAGCATCAGCTTCTAATGAGGCTGCTGAATTTTTTTAATGTAATTCAAAACATCTATGTATTTTTCTCTGCATCAACTCATCGATGGCAAATTTTGAAGCAACATCTGGGAACATCCTCTCTGACACTGAAACCACTGAGTGCCACACGATGGGAAAGTTGAGTGGAGGCGATAAAGCCTATCAAACACCAAATTGGGAAGATAGATGATGCCACTGTGGAGAATAATGCTATGACAGGAACTGTTCATGGGAGAACAGTGGCAGAGGGAAATGGAATCACCAGAAGCATACATAATTTCAAATTTCTGTGTGGCTTAGTGTTGTGGCATGACATACTGTTTGAAATAAATGTTGTAAGCAAGAAACTCCAAGGTGTTGACCTTGATATATCTGGAGCAATGGAACAACTGGACAAAGCAAAGTCATACCTACAGTCTTACTGGTCAGATGAGGGATTGCAAAACGTTCTGAAGAGTGCACAGAAGTTGGCAGAGGAACTTTACACTGAAGCTATTTTCCCACCCATTCAAGAATACAAGAGTCACCGAAGAAGAAGATATTTTGATTATGAGGCAAGGGATAATCCCATAAAAGACCCCAAACAACAATTCAAAGTTGAATTCTTTAACCAGGTGCTAGATTGTGCAATACAGTCAGTTGAAGAACGTTTCATGCAGCTCAAGGAACACAGCAGTATATTTGGGATGTTGTATGATATTCCAAAACTCCTCACTGTACCTGAAGAAAACCTACACCAGCAATGCAGGGCACTAGAGACAGTGTTGACACATGATGACATGCACAATATTGATGGGAGTGATTTAGGTGATGAACTGAAAGCCCGTTCAAGATACATTTCAGCAGGATCAACTCCAAAGGCTGTTCTGGAATATATGTGCACAAATAAGATAACCACCCTCTTTCCAAATGCTTTTATTGCTCTGCGCATACTTCTAACACTTCCTGTAACAGTTGCTAGTGGAGAACGCAGCTTCTCCAAGCTGAAGTTAATAAAAAACACATCTATGCTCCACAATGACACAGGAGAGGCTGGTCGGCCTTGCAACCATCACAATAGAGCATGAGCTGGCCCAGACTGTATACCTTCAGCAGGAAGCAGTTCAAATCTTTGCAATGAAGAAGGCACGGAAAGCACCACTTTGATTATTCAAACAGATAAAAATGCCAGTGTTTACTATGCAGACAAGAAAAGTTACATTTGCTGTTCAGGTGTTTGAAAGTTAAGTGTTACTTACAATTTTTGAACAAGGCATTTTAAGTTGTTAGTTCTCCTATATTGGGGTGGGTAGCAGAGCAGTACCATGAGAGGAGTAGAACAGGAAGAAGGCAGAATTAAGACCTTTAAAAGTTTTGGCCCAAGCGAGGGGACATGGGGGCATCATTTGATCACCCCGCCTCAGGTGCCAAAATGTTGTGGGCCGGCCCTGTGTATAGCCCATACACTGTAGATTGTTCCCTTCAATTTGTTATTTTTTATCCCCTCCGACTCTCCCTATCCTGGGGTTACCCCAGCCATCTGTCTAGCAGGGCATCTCCTCTCCCTACCCTATCTTCCACACTTTTCCCTTAATTTCGCCTGTGTGCTCGCTCCTTCCTCTCGCCCCAGGGGCTTGATCCTCCTCTGGACGCACGTGTTGCCCTCTGCACAGGCTCCGCCCATTCTGATGGCAAAGAGACGGGCAAAGGGACAGCCGTGCCTTCAGCAGGCGTCATTGAGCATGTCCAGATCGATCGCGCATGCTCAGTGACAGCAGCGCGACCAATCCGGACGGTGCCCTAGAGCGGGCAGCGCGGACCTCAGTTGTTTTACCGGGGGGGGCCGGCACCATGGCGCAGCAGGGCGGGCTCAGCATGAAGGAGCAGAAATACGACCGGCAGCTCAGGTAGCGGGGGCTGCCTCCGGCCGGCTCTCAGGTCGCTGGGCCGGCCCAAGGCCGGGTGGGGCCACAGCCTGGACCACTGGGGGCGCCGCGCCCCGCCCCCTTCTCCGGGGGGCGCCCTGCAGGCTGCTGGGCAACCGGCTCAGCCGCCTGCCGGGCCCGCGGTACCAGGCTGTGGGGCCCTGCGCGCCGCCTTCCCCGGGCAGCCCTGGGCCGAGGTGCGCCTCACGGCTTGGCTAGTGACCGGCCCCGCGGGGCCTGCCCCCGCTGGCTGGGGTCTCTGCTGTCTGGGGCGTCTGGCCCCGGGCGGCTTCCCTGTGTCCCCGAGAGGAGGGGGTGTGGGCAGGTCGGCTCACCGCTCTGTCTGTGACAGGGGGCGGTATTACTGGGGAGGGGGCTGGTGACGCTCACACACTGGCCTCGGGAAAAATTGGGGGGTTGAGGATGTTAATGTTTGTGAAAAACGATTTTGTTGGGGAAAAACAAGCCCTTGAAGGCTGAAATGTCTTGGTACTCAATGGTTTTGTTGGAAACTCAACGTTTTCCAATTGGGGGCATAGGGGAGGCCGTTTTCGGCCAGCTCTGATCACAAGTATCCAGACTGCCTCGTTTATTTCTATAATCCAAATAGTGCTCATTAGTGAACTCTTGGAGATGATGTCCATATTTCATGCTTTTATAATTGGATTCTTTTAAAAATCCATTTTATGTCAGCAGTTAAATCGGTATTATAAAGTGTGTGGGAATTGAACAGTTGTCAGTATTCCAAAAGGTTTTGTTTAAAAAAACATGTTAAGGCTGCAAATTGGGGAGGGCTTATTTACCTGTCACATCACTCAAACTAAGCTACTTTACTCCTCCCCCAGTTTCATTTTTGAGTCTGACTCTCCAGTCAGTAGCTCCAGTGTCTGCTTATCCTCAGAGTTTAATAAACTTGTACTGGGGTGAAAATGACTTGATTCTTGAGAAAGTCATTGCTCACTAGTTTCCACGTAACAGCAGTGAAAATTAATGGGACTCTTCCATACCTTTTTTACTCTGAATAGCAGCAGAGGTGCTAGAGCTGTAGGTCTGCAGGAAAACATTTTTGGTTCATGTTTGGAAATTATCTCTGCAGCCATTTAGGCTAGAATTTGTCTTTAAAACAAAAACCCAGAGCAAGTGTTTAAGCTAATTGGGAGTTTGGCCAAATAATCCTTTGGAAACAGCTTAAAAAAAATCTGTACTGGGTCACCATACAGAATGTGTTGCATCTTGAAGACAGAAATCTTCAGCAGTGAAAGAGGAGTATGTCTGCGAGCTACTGCCTGAAAACACTTGCAGTAGTTCAGGAGTTTATTTTTTTAAGTCTCACAGGACAATATGAATGGTTTTAACTGTTGCTTGACAGTTTGGAATCTTTTTCCCTGTCTTCTCCATAGACATTTCCCCCCCCACATCTGACTGGACTAAAGGTAAAATCCTGGCCTCACTGAAGTCAGTGACAAAACTCCCAGTGTAAATCATGCACCTAGATATACTATTTAACAGTGTATGGAGAAATGGTATGCTAAACCACATGGACTATGACATCAGATTCCCACTGCCATTCAGACTGTATTTGTTACCACAAGTTACTTTTTCCTCTGAATGCTTCTGTGTTTCTTGTTTTGCAGGTTGTGGGGTGATCATGGACAAGAAGCTTTAGAAGCTGCTCATGTTTGTGTGATAAATGCAACAGCCACAGGAACTGAAATCCTCAAAAATTTAGTACTACCAGGTAAATAAATTTCAATCCTAAATTTTAGGAAGAATTTCAGTTTGAATAATTAAGAGTGCATATTTCTTACTGTATTATTTTCAAGGTATTGGCTCATTTACGATTGTTGATGGGAATCAAGTCACTGGAGAAGATGTCGGAAATAAGTAGGTTTACTATCAGTTTTCTACACAAGTTCAGCAGTGATAAGGTTTCAGTAGTTTTACTATGTGCTGTTTAAAAATAATGGTTAACTTTCTGTAACTGTAGAAGTTATGCTCAAAACAAGCTGGTTTTGGGGGGTGGATTTTTGAATAGTTGTGAAATGTACTTTGTGTTAATAGGGCAATTAATAAGAAATTCCGAATTTTTAAATGCATTAGTTGGAAAGACCATATTCTTAAAAAAAAAAAAAAAAAACCACACACCAATGATGTGTAGTGAATATTTTACTCTCTTACTGTGACTTAAGATTCCCCAAACATTTTATATATCTAAATATAGTTTCATGGCTTTTAAACTGTTTTGTCATCAAAACTTACCACTTTTATTTAGAGAGACAAGGTAGGTGAGGTAATATCTTTTATTAGACTAGCTTCTGTTGGTGGAAGGTAGAAGATTTGAAGCTACACAGAGTTCTTCAGCTCTGGAGAAGGAAGCAGAGTGCTGTTCCTTCAGTATGCTTCCATAACTCTTGAAAAATGCATGCAGTTAGGGAAAGAATAGAAACCCTTACATAAATAAAACAATATATGTAAATGTACATCAAAATGCAACTTCCGTGGACTCTGTGTAGCTATTTAATGGTAATAACTTAGGCCTTGGTCCTGTAAGGTGCAGGCAGACTCTTGTGCCCACATGAAGCTCTGTTGATTTTAGAAGGGCTCTGTGAGCATAGGGATCCCTCTGCATGGAGAATTTAGAAGGATGAAAATTCACCTGCAATGAGTTCCTCACTGGGAGAGTGAAATTCTGCATGTGCTACAGAGTTTGCAGATTGTAGGGCCTTAGGAACTGGGATAAGGCTTCTTTAAAAATCTGACTTTACAAGATTCAAAAAGACTGTTTTCAAAGAAGTCATGTTAAAGATGTGATTAAAATTAATAATTGAAGGAAATAGATATTAAAGGACTTCTTTTTTCCTGCATGAAGCTATATAATATGTTCTGCACTGTAGGGAAACTTAAAAGCTTAAGTTTTGTGAAAGATATTATTAATGTCACTTTCTACTGTCTCTCTTTTCTCAGTTTCTTTCTACAAAGAAGCAGTATTGGCCAGGTAAAGCGATATTAAACACGGTTTGTAAGTATATTGAGAAAGTGATTGTGTATAAAATGGAAGTTAGACATACACAGATAAAAAATTCCTTTCTTCTATAGTAGTGAGTGAGGAGAACAGAGCTCCAGGAGATGAGTGGGAACAAAAGCCCAGTTTTGGCCATGTTGAGTTTAAATTGGTGGCTGGATGCCCACAAGGAGATGTTGAAAAGACTGGCTGTGACTTAACCTTGATGGAGGAAGACAAGTCCAGGGTGGACAGGTGGATTTGTCATCAATAAAAAAAAGATATCAAGTACAGAAGGGAGGGAAGGATAGAGCCCTGGGAGACCCCCACCAAAAACTGAAGTGTGTGGTGGGGAGGTGAATGAGGACCCACTGAAAGAACAATAAGAGGTAGTAAGACAACCAGGAGAGGATAAGATTCCAAGAGGAGGATATGGTTGACTGTGTCAGAGGGACTCAAGATGTCTATGGGAAAGGAGCACTAGGCCTGTGTTATGTCTAGCAAGATATTAGAAACCTTGGTTAGAGCAGTTTCAGTGGAATTATGAGGACGGAAGCTAGACTGATTTGGGTGTGGAATGGAACTTAAGGAAAGAAACTCAAGATGATGGTTGTAGACAATTGTTTGAGATGGGAGAAGAGAATGTGGATGATAATCTGAAGGGGATTCAGGACCCATGGTGAATTTTTAAGATGAGAAAGACCAAAGCTGAATTGGGAGGGGAATAAACCTCTTGAAAATGAGAGGTTGAGGGGACTAGGAAGCTTAGGAGATGGAATGGTCACTCAGGCAGAGGGAAGAGCTGGAGAATCGGGAAGATGTTCAATGTCAGTGAGAGTGGAGGAGGAGAGTGTGCGCTAGAGTGGGGAGAGGGATGGAGGAGGTAATACGGAGTCTTACCTCTTTCTGTGTGTTTTTTTTTTTAACTTTGATAAATCAATAAAATTCTGAGTGGAGAGGGAGTAGGGGGCAGTTTTATTAACTTAAAAAAACCCTTAAAAGTTGTATTCTGTCTCTGTTCATCACTATTGTTTCTAGTCTATCAGTAGAAAAGATTTTGTAAAACCATTATTTACAAAAGATTTAAAATGGGGGGAAACCTACATTATCTAAAAGAACATTGACTTGCATTTTCTAGTGTTAGTTGGGTTTGTGCCATCTACCTAAAGTTAATTAACATATACAATAAGTGAAATAAGCTCCAATCTTGGATATTGATGAACTATAGCGGTTATAAGAATGGTTAGGACCAAATAATGGGTTTTATTAGGGGATTGTCCTCACCATTCTGCTAGTAGGTGCTGTTGCTTATCTTCCCTTGTGTCACTCTTCTTCCCCCCTCCCCAATCCTTTGGCCTCATCTTCTGCTGTTTCCTTCTCACATTGTAAGTAGCTCTTTCTCACTTCAATATCTTCTTGCCATCACTCACACTGCTCTGAGTTTCATTAGAGCTTGCTTAGCTTTTAACTTAACAGTGCTTAAGAAAGCTGCATCAGGAGCTTACGGTGCTTCCCATACAGTGATTTTAAAATTAGACATAAGCCAGTTATTACAGTTTTCCATTTTTAGACTATTTTTTTAAAGTAAAGTACAGTCTGGCTCAAACAAAATCCTTGCTATTACTTAGTGATTTTAAGATGAATGTGAGGTTTGAAATAGTTGAACTATATCAATATTCCATAATGTACTTACTTGTAATACGGCGTCTATACTACTGGTAAGGTATGTAAAACACAAAATCAACGTATAAATTATAGGTATGTTTAAACAGGTATATTTTTAATTGTTTTAAAACAGAACCGAGCCCAAAGTGCCACAGAGCTCTTACAAGAATTAAATAATGATGTTTCAGGAAATTTTGTGGAAGAGGTTTGTATCCTTGAATTCCTATCCACGTTCTGGTGTTTAAGTGCATGGCAAAGTATGATAAAATAAAGTTACATTAGTTACAAATTTATCTGTATCTGTAATTGCAATGTAAGAATTTATGGTAATACAGATCTGGAAATAAGATCTCAAATAATGTGGGTCAAGTTCATTTATGTATATATGTAAATAACGTTTGTACTTAATGATAATAAAGATTCAGAAGCCACATCTAGCATTTTGAATCCAACTCCAGTGTTGAATACATATGTTCGCTTTAACTTTTGATATGCTTGTGTCTTTCTAAGATAAAGCAAAATTTATGTTCCAATATATGTGAATATTTTTTTACTTTTATTTAGAGTCCAGACAAACTTCTAGACAATGATCCTTCATTTTTCTGTCGGTTTAATTTAGTGGTTGCAACCCAGTTACCAGAAAGGTAGAGTCCTGTTCAGATTTTTTTCAATCTTCTTACAACTACAGTTTTGTTTGCAGCTTTATTATGGGAAAATATAATTTATGTGAAGCAACATTGCCCTTTTTGCTGTCATAGGCAACATTTGTAGACAGGAAAGCTTTATGATGATGATTTTCATTATACCTTTTGTATGTTAATACACCTTTTTTTTTTTTTTTTATTTTAAAGTTCTTGTATTGACTCATTGTTAGGCACAGTCTTCAAATTCACTTAAATGTTGAGTCCTTCTCTCTAGTGAGGGAGTTCTTCCTAATCCACCATAGCTATGTCAGTTTAGTCATCTAATTTGAGGCCTCACATGTAATGGGATCCGTGATACCTTCAAGTCTTCATGAAGGTCTCTTTATCACCCATCCAACTCCCTCTTTTCTAACTGTGTAAATAATTGTATTGCCACACATTACTTTAGTAAGAATTCCATGTGGCTCTATCAGAAACTTTGTCAGGACTGTATATTAGGAGTTCTACTTTACAATTTGTGGATCCAACTGATCTTTCTTTCCAATTGTTATTTTATTTGCCTACGTTCTTTTTTTTTTTTTTATAAACTGATCTTTTAAAAGTTTGGGACCATAGAAAACAATGCAACGTTAAAGAGCCAATGGCTATAAATTATCTGGTAATGTCTTTTTGCTGTAGTTTTTAAAATATATCTTCTGATCTTATTTCATATGCATTTATAACATCATTTTGATCATGTTATATTTTTAGCTTTGAATGCCTCTCTCATGTGGGAAACAGTGTATTTTTTTTAAATTATTGTTGCACACATGATTATCTCTTATACGTTCTAAGAGTCATTTTATTTTTATTTTCAGTATATTGGTGCGTTTAGCTGAAATTCTCTGGAATTCTAACATCCCTCTGTTAGTCTGTAGGACTTATGGACTAGTTGGCTATATGAGAATTATGATTAAAGAACATCCAGGTAAGAGATTTCTTTAGAAATTAGACTTAGATGGATCTAAAGGTGGAATTGAAAGCTCTTTTCTAGACGTTTTAGTTGTGTTGTTTATGTAGATGACATTTATGTATTTAAAGAACTATTTCATTTTTATCTTGTGAAGTATTTAGTATTAGTTAATAACCTTGGCATTTGCAGTTGGAATTTCCCACCCTAAAAATCATTCTAGCCGTGGAAATGATTTACTGAAAATTGCATGCAACAAGTAATTAACCTGATGATGAAGCAAAATGGGAGACTTTTGTCCAATACTATACTGCATTATATTATGGAATACATTTACAATGAGCAACTACTTCCATTAATGTGTAATTATGCTAGTGGGACTCGCATAACTAAATACCCAAGCACTGAATATTTACTGCTATGTTTTGTAGCCTACAATCTGTCTTGTTTATCTTTCAAATTAAATTATCTTGTGTAACTCTTTGGCAGTCGTGGAATCTCATCCAGACAATGCATTAGAAGATCTGAGACTGGACAACCCATTTCCAGAGCTGAGGGAACATATGCAGTCTTATGACTTGGATCATATGGAAAAAAAGGTTGGCATGAGACTTGCATTCTAAAACACATTCAAAGTAGGCCCCGTTCTTGCAAGTAATTCCATGCGGATGGGTCTCTCCTCCTGCACAGAGCCCTACCTGTGCAGAGACGGTTGCAGGATTGGAGTCAAAGGTTCCTATTTTTTTTTTTAAAGAGTTTAACTGACGCCTTTAGTGAATTTGGCTATTGCAAAAGCTAATCGTGAGTTAAAATATCAAACTTTGTCTCTGCTGCTGTAAACATCACTTCACATAGTAAGCATTCTGAAGCCACATTTTTGGGAAACATCCTTCCTTATGTTAGGTGGGATTAGTGTAATCTGGCCATAAAAGTATGGTAACTGGTGGCACAGAGCCAGTGTGAAGTCTCTTGCATAATTTGTCCCCTTTATGGCTAGAGGAGGAAAGAGGGTATAGCTGGTATGTCTTGTGCTATGCCAATTTTTGGCTGTGTCTTTGACCCCTGTGGTCTTTGCAACCCAGTACAAATTAGAGCATCCTAAGGGCAGATAGAATGACTTTCACAGGGCAGCACCAAGATTAGGAGAGTGCAGAGGTAAAATTTAAACCACCATTTCACACTGCCCTCTATTTTATCTCTGTGCAGTGTGGCCATCCCCAGTTAAGGAGGAAAGAAAAAAGGATTTTTCACAATGATTGTCTGGATTCCTCAGTTCAAACAGCAAATCCCAAAGCTACAAATTAAAAAATATAAACTTTGGATCGGATTACTGTATGAGTAGCGCCTGAGCAGTTAGGAAAACAAATAGATAATCCATATGGAAAATGTTTTTTTCCAGTCAGGTAAAGGTAACGGACTGATATTGTGCAGAGACAAGATGAGTGAGGTAATACCTTTTATTGGACCAACTGTTGGTGAAAGAGCAAGCTTTCGAGCTTACACAGAGCTCTAACTTGCACGTTCTTCAGCAATACTTGAGACAAGGTTTTGTCCTTCCTGAGTGTAAGTGGCCAGGTACTCGTTTACTTGAAGTTTCTACCCTCACCCTGATGGTGCTTTAGGCATGCCAGAACTCTGAAAAATTACTTTCTGCAAATTGGTCAAATCCTTGTTGGATCATTCAATTTGGGGCAGAAGCCAGATCTCTGAATGTTTCTGCTCATTAAATATATATATTTTTTTAACCATTTGATATATCGAGAATATATGGAGTCTGATTTGAGATCAGTGTGAAGATTTTCCTGGTAGGTCAATTAGTCCAAAAAAAATGCCTGTTTTCTTCTGGCATGATTTCAGAATTCATTACATTAATGCAAGAAATACAGCAAGAATAAAAACTGCTTCAGTATTTGATATTTATAGTATATGTGAGTACTGACAGAACCTACGGGTATGAATTGGTCTGCATTTTAAGATGTAAATTGGGGAGGAAGATTCTAAACAGTGAGGTGTGGCCTAAATCTTTCACTTGTGGAAATGCAAGTTTCATGCTCCTGTCACAGGTTTAGCAGCAGGTCTTACTTTCCAAAGAGAGTACAGGGGGAGTTGCAATATGAAAAAGAAAGACCTTTAGCTTTCCTGTTGTAGGGCTGGTCTATATTTCTAATCTCCTTTTTCCTGCCCTAACCTATCAAAAGTATGACATCTGGTCACTACCCTAACGATAATACTAGACCTTTGGATCGAAGAGGGCTTAAACTTAATTAAAATTATTAAATCCACATGCAGGACAGTTCTAAATAATTGTGCAATTTGAAGTTCTCAGATTTAGATTTTAAACTATATAATGCATTTTTGACCATCAAATTATTTCCTGGGTTATTTGTAAAAGTTCAAAACTGAGCACATCATAACTTTTATAGACAATTAGTATTTATTTGCTCCCCCTTCTTAAGATTTATTTGAGATATGACAAACATAAGAATGGCCTTAGTTGGTCCACCTAGCCCAGTATCCTGTCTTCTGACAGTGGCCAATGCCACGTGCTTCAGAGGGAATGAACAGAACAGGTAATCATTAAGTGATCCATCCTCTGTCGCCCATTCCCAGCTTCTGGCAAAGAGGCTAGGGACACCATCCCATCCTTGACAAACTTACTTGAAATTTCATTTAATTGCAGAATCTGTTTACATAATATTACAAGCATTGCTGTCAAAAACTAGGAAACTTTATTGAATCAGAAATGTTGTTCTTAACTCCTATGGTGCCTCAATATTACAGGATTTTAAAACTGTGGTAATCTAACATACAAAGCTGTCAGCTTTAAAGAAATAATCTATTTCTAACTACTTTCAGAATTATGTCCATTACAGATTTTTTTTCTGTTTGTTGATTGCAGGACCATAGTCACACTCCATGGATTGTGATTGTAGCAAAGTATTTAGCAAAATGGTACAGTGAGGTATGTTGATAATGTCTTATCATGAATCAAACATATAGCATCCAGTATTTCTAATGTAGGCTTTTAATAAAAGTACATCTGACTCCAAACTAGATCACTTGGGAGTAAAAAAGAATTGGACAGGTGATAAAAAGTACCACATTGAACAGTGTCCAAAGATTTATTTTTGGGCACTGAATGAAGCCTGTAACTACTGAAAAGTGTCTGGTTTGTTTTTTACCCTATGTTTCCTTTACCACTTACTGAAACACAAATATATGTGTATTAACTTTGACACAAACTATCTAGAACAGGGGTCGGCAACGTTCGGCACGCGGCTCGCCAGGGTAAGCACCCTAGCGGGCCGGGCCAGTTTATTTACCTGCTGACGCGGCAGGTTCGGCCGATCGCGGCCCCCACTGGCCACGGTTCGCCGTCCTGGGCCAATGGGGGCGGCGGGAAGCCGCGGCCAGCACATCCCTCGG